ACTAAGGTCCCAGATGACTGGCAACGAGAGTGACCATCTTTAAGAAAATGAAGAAGGAGGAGGATCCAGAGAATTGGGAATAATGACCCTGTTAGCTTGACCCCAATACCTGGAATAATCAGGGAGCAGGTCCTCAAGAAATTTACTGTGAAGCACCTGGAGGAGCACAAGGTGATCAGAAGGGCCAGCATGGATTCCCCGAGAGCAAGTCATGCCTATCATAGAAGGATTACGATTTCATTCTGTGATAAAATGACAGGCTCTGTAGATATGGAGAGAGCAGTAGATGTGATATACCTTGACTTTACAAAGGTTTTTGACACTGTCCCCCACAACAGTTTCATTAAAAAGCTAAGAAAATACACAGTCATTGAAATTATTTTAAGGTGGATGTATAACTAGTGGAATCATCTCGTTCAATGAGTAGTTATCAATGGTTCAATGACTAGTTGGGAGGAGGTATCAATTGGGGTTCTCCAGTATCCTGGCTCTGGTATTGTTCAACATAGAATCACTGGAAGTTAGGGTTGGAAGGGACCTCAGGAGGTCATCTAGTCCAACCCCCTGCTCAAACCAGGGCCATCCACAACTAGATCATCCCAGCCAAGACTTTGTCTAGCTGGGTCATCCAAGGATGAAGATTCCACAACCTCTCTTGGTAACCTGTTCCAGTGTTTTATAACCCTTCTAGTGACAAAGATGTTCCTAATATCTAACCTAAACTTCCCTGGCTGCAATTTAAGACTGTTGCTCTTTGTTCTGTCATCTGCCACCACTGAGAACAGTCCAGTTCCATCTTCTTTGGAAACACCCTTCAGGTAGCTGAAGACTGCTATTAAATCTCTTCTCAATTTTCTCTTCTCCATTCATGATTTGGATGATGGGATTGAGTGGAGACTTAGCAAATTTGCAGATGACATCGAGTTAGGTGGAATTGAAGACACTCTGGACAGCAGGCCTAAGATCCAGAATGACTCTGATTGATTGAGGAACATATTTCCAGTCTATTAGATAAGATTTGACAAGGAAAAGTGCAAAGTCCTGTACTTGGGATGGAATCATTGCATGTACAAATGCAGACTGGGGAACAATTGGCTAGGCTGCAGCACTGCAGAGAGACCTGGGAATTATAGTGAACCAAAACTGAATATGGGCAGACAGTATGCTCTTTTTGACAAAAAAGCCCAACAGTATACTGGGTTGTATCAACAGGAGTGTCACTTACAAATCAAAGGAAGTGATTCCTCCACTCTATTCAGCACTGGTGAGGCCTCACTTGGAGTACTGTGTGCAGTTTTGGGCCCTACACTTCAAGGAAGAAGTGGAAAGACTGGAAAGAGTTCAGTGCAGTGACAAAAATGATGAGGGGCCTGGGAAGCAAGCCTTATGAGGAAAGGCTGAAAGAGCTAATGATATTTGGTTTGGAGAAGACAAGACTGAGAGTGATTTGATAACAGTCTTCAAAATATTATACAGAGGATAAACATGGGCCTTTCTCTGTGGCCATAGCAGGCAAGACTAGGAACAATGGTCTCATGCTTCAGCAGGGGACATTAATCTTGGAAATTAGGGGGGGGACTTTCTGTGAATCTGGTCAAGCATTGGAACTGGCTACCTAGACAAATTATGAAATCTCCATCCTTGGAAACTTTCAAGCTCAGGTTAGACAGATACTTGATTGAGATGGTTTCATAGATTCATAGATGTTAGGGTCGGAAGGGACCTCAATAGATCATCAAGTCCAACCCCCTGCATAGGCAGGAAAGAGGGCTGGGTCTAGATGACCCCAGCTAGATGCCTATCTAACCTCCTCTTGAAGACCCCCAGGGTAGGGGAGAGCACCACCTCCCTTGGGAGCCTGTTTCAGACCTTGGCCACTCTAACTGGGAAGAAGTTCTTCCTAATGTCCAATCTAAATCTGCTTTCTGCTAGCTTGTGGCCATTATTTCTTGTAACCCCTGGGGGCGCCTTGGTGAATAAATCCTCACCAATTCCCTTCTGTGCCCCCGTGATGAACTTACAGGCAGCCACAAGGTCGCCTCTCAACCTTCTCTTGCGGAGGCTGAAAAGGTCCAGGTTCTCTAGTCTCTCCTCGTAGGGCTTGGTCTGCAAGCCCTACGAGGGCTTGATGTTTAGTTATGGATGATCCTTCCTTGATCTGGGGACTATACTAAATAACCTTGTGAGGTCCCTTCCAGCCCTACTTTCCTGTGATCCTATGAATTGACAGCTATATTCACAGTAGAAGTAATGACACTGCCAATGTGAGGACTTTTTTCCTTTACTTTTTCTCTTTCTATAGTTTGGTTAAGCACCTTACTTGTCAACAATCAGTCCTGTCCTGCTTCCACTAAAGTTACAAGGCTCAGTTTGACTTTTAACTTTCATGTGATGGGGACAGCATTAGCAATATCAATCAATCTTTTTTTTCATAGAAAAAATATTGCAGGGAGAAATGGAAAATTCAGCTTGATAGTCTAATACTGGCTACATTGATGTGTCCGTTCTTTGCGAGCATAGGGCATGACCATGACTTATATATATCCCTTTCGCATGTTATGTCTACACCCAATGGAAGTACATTGCAAGTCATATGTGTACATTCAACCTTTGCCTCTGAATAGGATTCAGTTTAGATAGTTTTGGGAGAAAATTATGCCTGTTTTCTCCCCCAAGACATTTCCCATGGGTTTACCACTGAAAGGAATGACCTGACAAGCAGGATGGAAAACAATCTTTGAACTACAACTATACAATGTATTACTACACAGTAAGAAGGTCCTATTCATATATAACAGATCTTCACTTTGGGTATACCTCAGCCTACTCTAGAGGACCTGTACCAGTTGTCTGGACTAAAAGATAGTTGGATGCTAGTTAAAAATATGCATAATATACAGGTATGTCAATACATAGGAAAGCATACAGCATATGCAGGGTAGCAAAATCCTAGTGTACCTACAGAACAGGGTTGTCCAGTTCCAACCCATGGGACACATGCAGCCCACAAGGTTTTAAAACCCCCCTCAAATCCCCCCACTTCTGCTGCTGCTGCTGTCAGAGACTCCCTTCTCCAGCTGTCACTTCCTGCCTATCATCCCCAGGGACAGGGCAGCATGACTCTGGAAACCCACAGCCCATGGGCAGAAGGGGAGCCTGAACTGCCCTTGGGGGCCTGGCTGAGGGCCAGGGAGCCCATGTGATGTGTGGCCCCCAGCAACTCATAAAATGGGCAGCCTTGTATACTAGAACATTGTAAAACACTAGTGAAAAATGGAAAGCTTATGAAACCATAATTATGGGATTCTAATATTCAGAAGTCAGTTAAGTTATTGGCTTTAACAGCTTTTTCCACAAGCTGTTCTTTTTTTAAGGCAGCTAATTTGCAATCTCAAAGGAAAGACATTCCTTCATGCTTTTGAATACATCAAAGAAATGTGAGTAGATGGCTTACAGGACTCATAATGAGAGTGGTGAAAGGAACTGGAAGTCATTGATTGAAATCCAAGCTAGTAGGGATGAAAAGTAAGTATCCAGCAGTTCTTTGGTGTCCCTTCTGAAGTAAGTTATGGCTTCAGTCCAGTCTCATTCCTGGCTAGTTAGGTGTATACAGCCCAAGCCCAGAACCTAAACTGGCACACGTCTCAGCACTCCAGAGCGAAGTCAGTGACAGAACAGATAGGAAAACTGAATGACCCTTTTTAAATGATCCTTACAAGAACCCAGGATAGAGAAAGGTAGTTAGCTATGTTTGCCGGAAGATGGCAAATAGCGTTAGAACACCAGGGCATGTAATGGACAGTCCCCAGCTAGTCATAGGCTTGGGTCAGTATTTAAAAAGAAGTAAGGGTATATACCTCAGTCTACATTTTTTCCAGCTAAAGGAAGGAGGAAGCTCCTTTTTAACTTATTAAAGCAGCAAGAGCTTCTGCAGAAATATGTCCTAGTCAGTGCTTCTTCAATCTATTTCCTTTTAGTTGCATGACTAGTTGACAGACACTAAACAAGCACTAGGGAAGAGGACTCTAAAGAAGTGAGTCTTGGAGCTGTTTCCTTTTCCCTGACTACCAAATCTGTTTAGCAAATTCTACTGTCTCTAGGTTCATCTCTGATCCCCACACCTAGATGGGCAAAGAATGAGGCATGTGCGGGGTGTTATGTAAACTGCCCATGTGGCCCCTCAGTATTTGTGGCTGTTCATTTGGTCATTTCAGTCAGATGGTATCAATCCTATTCTTTGAATAATTGCAAGACTGTAAAATATGTAAACAGTTCACCACGTATTACATGTCTATGGACTAGTAATCACTAATGTGGTGAACTTCTTTTCCCTGAACAGGCACAAGTAAGATTCCTTCCATATATTTAATCAAAGTCATGGCTCTGATTCATGCATGAGTTAACAAGAAAGGTTTCTACTCTTTCTCCTGAGTCTCCTTGATTAAGATGCACTGGTGTGACAGCCTAGGAAAATGATGTTGGTACATAATTGCTACTATTTCCTTTGAACCATCACCATGCAAGGTTGCAGCCTTTCTCTGTAAAGAGAGGCAGTTGTTGACAATAAGCTCAAAAGCAGGTGCAGCTGAACTTTGGTTAATAGCATGGCAAACTATGTTTCACACCATTTCAAAACCTGTGGTTAAGACTCATAGCATATATTTCTGCTGAATGGGATTTGCATTAAACCTTGTTCAGCATTGTTTCATTGTGGCTGCCCATTATCAGTGATGAGTAATTTCCTAGTATAAAGGAGAGAGCTATGCCACCCACTAATAAACACCTGACAGTGCCCTGTAGGCAACGCTGTCCTGCCCTTTCTTTGTTTTCAGTGCTTCTCTTAAGAGCCTTAACGCCCCTGACTCCCATTTCTAACTTCAGTTGGAGATGATGGTGGCCCACAACAGGCCCCAAATTCTGGTTGTCATTGTGGGCTAAGGCTTTCAAAGTTAGACATACAAATTACATTAAAACACAGTAGAAATCACATCATTAGGTACCTTAGAAGAGACCTACTGATGTCTGGGATTATTGGTCTCTTGCACTCTCCAAACTCCTTCTTCTCATTTCTCTTTGGCTCTTTCAATGCTCATGAGTGGTATGTCTGCAGTCTATAACCAGCACTTTCTACTCTAATACCTGAAGTAGGAGAAAGAGTGAGAAACATACTCCTTCCAGTCATTAGCTATCATAAGAGACTTCTCTTTAATAAAAAAAAAAAATCAGTGAAGAAAAACTGTGCCTTACCTTGGGAGACAAAAGGGATGGTATCATACTATGAAACTGTCTGCCATCAGTTTAGGAAAGGACACTATTGGCAAATAGAGGATCAAGCCCCGAATATTTGATGGAACCCTAACTTGGGTTAATCTCTGACTGATACCTAATGAACATCAGGCAATGAGCTTTTGCTAGTTTGTCTCTTTTATACATTTTCATTATGTGTGGTTTATCAAGCCATTAAAGTCACATTGTATTGAGCAAAACTATCGGAAACTAAATAAGAGTAGAAACGTATTTGCCACTGCACTTAAGCTGACAGCTGTAGCAATTTTCTCAAAGCAGACACATGCAACTTGATGACAAAGAGGGAGGCTTGTGTGAATTCTAATTGTAGAGCTCTGTTGCAGAGGCTACTGATAATGGGCCTCTGATTTAAGTGGGATTAAGAAACAATCAAAACCAGGTGGTTTGTTTGGATTTAATATTCATGAATCATTAGAGGTTTCTAACAGAGTTAAGGAATAAGCTTTTTAGACTTTCCAGAGGAAGCAAAAACTATTATTATGAGCTTCAAAGTAGGATAGAAATAACCTGGTAATCAAAAATGAGTCACTACATTACAAGTATTAGAACGGGGGAAAAAATCATTAAAAGTCAGTAACAGCAGGAGGGGAAATCTTCACTTTCAGCACCCTTTAACTGATCACAATGATTATAACTGCCATCTGCAGAAATCACACACTTAATTGAAATGAGCAATTCTGATTTTCATCTATAGTATAATACTGAGATTTAGAATCTCTCACTGAAAACTCTGATATCTAAAACTTGTAAAAAAACCCCCAAACAATCCTTTTCTGTTCTTTCGAACAGTTTTGCCATGAGCCATCACCAAGTGCTTCAAATTAAACATAATGGCCCAAATATAGAAACTTTTCCTCCATAGACCAGTTGATAAATGCAGTTTTCATATTCCAAAAACATTGACATATATATTCTGAGCTAAAGTTGTGTACATTCTTAAAATGTTAAATTTTCCATTCCCTTTAAACACAGATATCACTTATTCTTGCAATTCCCCAAAGGTTATCATTGATCCTGTCTTTCTCTTCATCTATCAACTTATCTTCCTTCCTGTCTACTCTTCACTTCTAAGCCCATCAAATACTCTTCACTTCTAAACCCATACAGTTATATCCTTCTCTGCCACCATTCACAAACCCCTCCATTTTCAATTCTTCTGCAGTAAAACTATTATCATCAAAGGCCTTGTTACGTATTAATTTTAGGTGGTTTCTGGGACTCTTAGCCCATGGATTGTCGATACATTAACACTTGAAAGTAGTTTTAAGCACCTTTTAGGTGACTTAGTTACACCACTCCAGGGCAGACTAATCTCTGATCATTCTCCCACCTCCCTGCCCCTCCACCACGTCTCTTGCACACCTCTTCCTAGAGCAGAGATAGAAGACCGTCCTGGCTCACAAGCCTCTAGTGGAAACTCACAGCTGTAGCTCCTAGTCAGGCATCTTCTTGTCTGAAGGCCACTTAGGGAGTTTTGGTGAGCTGTCATGGGCGGAGTCAGCATCCTACCTTGCCTGCAACAGCTCATCAAATCTCCATAAGAGGCACTGTCCCAGAGCCCATCCTGTGATCCCAATCCCAGCCTGTCCACCCATCCTGCTCCCAGATGCTGCTCCCTGCCTGCCCGTGGCCCCTTCCCATTCACCCAGCTGAGTGTACCCTGGTTGCACTGGACTGTCCCAGGCCAGTCTCCATGGTGACTCTGCCCATCCAGTGCCACCAGTGGTGGCTGCAGGGTGACCAGATGGGGGGGCCTGGACAGAGGGTCCAGGTTCAGCGGCGGAGGCAGA